AACGGTAAATACTCGCAGATGGACCAAAATATATATATATATATATATATATATATATATATATATATATATATATATATATATATATATGTTATATATATATATATATATATATATATATATATATATATATACACACCAACATATTAATATATATATATAAATTTGTATATACACACACACACACACATATATATATACAGAAATATTTGATATATATATATTTATATACATACCACACAAACACACACACACATATATATATATTTATATATATACATATAGATATTTATATACACACACACACATATATATATATATATATATATATATATATATATATATATATATATATATACACTCACACACACACATATAATTTACACACGCAGATTCACACACACTTTATATATATATATATATATATATATATATATATATATACACAGAAATATATTTATATATATATTGTTTTATATACACACATATATATATATACATACATACACACACACAGACGCACAGACACACACACACACACACACATATATATATATATATATATATATATATATATATATATATATATATATATATATATATATATATATATCAATGGTCGTAAGTTGAAACACATAGCAGAAAAAATATAGATCGATTTGAAAGGCAATTGTCTGCGCAAGTAAAGTATAAGCGGTAAGAAATAGCAAAACCCAAGATTGAAAATCAATCGAGCACGTGAAAGACGACGGAGGCAGATGAGCAAATATACGTTTTACGTATTGCGTGATGTGACGGCCATCGATTCCAGATAAAAACAGTTGCGTAATTCGGCGACATATTGTCCGATTCATATATGGGAAACGTCCACGTCCATGAGCACACGAGCCGGGTGGAAGAATGAATGTCGCCAAAATGGCTAGATGAGGCACGCTTTTCTTGTTTCTACTCGTAAGTCATTGACAATGCGTGAAGGGGATTCTGAGGAACTCCTTCATGGAAGTGCTTTTAAGAGATCAAAATAATTTATAGTATAAGAAAAACAGTTTCAAAAGTTATGAAAATACGTTGGATGTTTATGAAAAGGGACAAGTGTGTGCATTCAACAGAGAAGTCGTATTGATGTCTATGAATATTGGATTATAATCTTTTTCCGTCAGTTGAAACGATTGTATTAGCAATAGAAATATTATAAGGAAGCATTCGGCATTCATTGACTGAGCAGCCAGTGTAACTTGAGTTACCCTTTTCTTAACTTTATGTCCATCAGGCCAGCTTAAATTGTACTGTCTGCTAACCTTATCTCTAAATTTTAATTACAATATTAACTTACAATATTTCTTTATGAGAAAACATTTACCATTAGCTGATAGTGCAGCCATTTTGAAATATATAGAATCTTTCTCTAAAAATTATTTTTCAGGAAAATAGATTCCTCATTTCTAGATAGTGTTATCGATCTTTCCAGAATTCATAATGATTTCATTCCGAAACATTTTTTTTGGTGTTGTGTGGAACGGCAATATCTTGATTATGACATTATATTCTCTTGGAGTTACATGTGCTGTCCATTTTAGTTGTTGCTGCTATGGAATGTCTTCAAACGATGGGTTTTTCTTATTTGGTAGTCATATGTTTGTGATTCTATAGCGTCAATCCGCAAAATACGAAAAATGATCATCTTCAGTTGAAACCTTTTTAACCATTAATTTGAAAAAAAAGACTGGATACAGCTGTCAAATTGATTTTCGGTCATGCACGACATCTATATAATCTCCCCATCTGACAAGATTCGAGTTTATTTTAAGCTAACGTTTTGGTTTTGTACCGTTTTGTGGTACTGTGTTTTGCTAAATTTAATTATATCAGGATAGCGGTTCGGATTGGGGAATCGAAGAGCCGAGTTCGAATTCTAGTCGAATCCATTACATTCACTTACGTCCTTGGGAAAGATATGAATCCTCTTCTTCTCTACTCCACCTAGCTATGGGTAAATAGCAGGATTGACCGGGTTCTATAGCCTTGGATGGCAACTGTTCTACCACAGAAAGAATTGGCAACATACTGCTGGAAAAAAAAATCTGCCACATGTATCACGCGTGGCACATAGCTGACTGACTGACAGATGCACTTTGTTCACCACTGCAATAGCCAGGTATTGAACTCACAACTTTTTGGCCAACGCTTTTATCCATTTGACCTTGAGTACATGAGTGCGTGAATCTTTGGGACTTGTAAACTTTATGTCTCATAACCTTTTTTTAAACAGAGCTCATATTGAAATTTTGTTGTTATTATTGCTTTTCTTTAGCATTACGTATTACTGGTTCCCATATTGTATTAATTTCTATACTTGGTCACAAAAATCTTGGAGAGTTGAGTTAAACTGAGACATCCGGAAGAGGCATGACACGTGGAACTAGAACAAAAGTTTGGGTGAACAAAAGATTGGAGAGTTGAGTTAAAGGGGGATAACTGATACCCCCAGAAGAGGCTTGAAACGTGGGACTAGAACAATCTTTTCCAGTGGGCGAAATAAAGTGTTCAATTCGAAATTCCAATCACCTGAAGAAAAGCGGGGCGTACAACAACCGAAACGTCGTGAACATAACAATAAAGTTGAAGACAACAGTCTGAACCATGTAAACAATGCAAAAAAATCTCCTCCCTAGTTTTAGGTTGCCACCTAAAGCTCCGTATTACAATAACCCATAGCTGAAATAAGAGAAGGCATGGCTTCATGCTTTTCCCAACGACATCTGTATTAACGAAGAACACAACAGACCAGCCTGGAATTTGAACTCGGTTTGCCGAGTCGAATTGATGTGGCAATAACCGCTAGGGTACTATCACATTGCGCGCATTAAATTTAGCAATACCAGTTTTCTAGCATTTGATGATGAAGAAGAGATGTGCAAATGAATTGTTTGTTAAGTGTGTTCTGTTGGCCTGGCAAAGCTGGCGCCCGAAAAAAAAAATAATCGATTGCATGTATAGCCCATTATTTCTGGAAAACGATTTTTCTACTAACGATGAAACTATAAATCGAGAAAATCTGTTTTGCTTTCGGTAAGGAATCTGGGAACGCCGACTAAACAGGCGTGGAATTATTTCGAAATAATGTCTCCCAGTTGTGTGCACGTAAAAAAAAAATACAGTGTAACCCGGATGTAAGAGAGTTGTCGGGACCGGAGAAGAAGTCTCTTATATCCGGGTTTCTCTTATATCCGGGTTTGGTCTATTTTATATACATTAACACAGGCTCTAATTTGGGACCATAGAAGATCTCTCTTATACTCGGGTTTCTCTTATATCCGGGTCTCTTATATCCGGGTTACACTGTACAATTGATACCAGGAGTCCACTAAGGCTTTTAATCAGAGTAGGTTTGAGTTAAGGACAAGTCTTATTTTCCACATAGTGAACATACCGAAATGTTTGCTTGTAACATATGTCGTAACATATCTAGTTGGAGCTCCTGTTGAAACGCAATACTCAACCGTGCTTGCATCCTATGTTTGGTCTCCGTAACGGTTCAGTAAGTTTCGATATATTTCAAAAGGCTCGTGATTGTCCCATGGTGAATTCTATCATACGCCGATATTACTTAAACAATATCATATTAAACGGCATCGGTAAAAACGCCGCTAAAACTTATGCTTTTTCGTGGTAAGTTTCAAACTAATATTACCATACAATAAACGTTAAACTCTGATGATATAAGGCAATGAAATAAAAATGGTACATTTACTTAGGAATGGTGCGGCACACGTGCAACAAGAGATTCCTAACTGAAAAGAAAAAGAGTTTATCAGTCGATAAATAACAAGTAAGCAACTATGCAAGTAGATCTCAGACGTGCACCAGAAATTGTCTAAATAGCATGGATGCTTCCTTTTAGAGGGGGTTCAGATGTCATTGATTGACCCTGTTTTTCCCATTTAAGTGCACTGATGTAAAAAGCAACCTGGAGAGGACAGGCTTTTCTTTTGGAAATGGACTTTGGTTAATTTCTGCCTCGGAGTTAAAAAACCGAAACATTTCTTTTTTGCTTTTATGAATACGAATATAGTTATTCCACATTCATTTCAGATAGCGGTGAAAATCTGTATTTAATACCCCCCCAAAAAAAAACGAACTGGTAAAGACACATTTTCTCCGTGTTTCAAATGCAAAAGAAAGTTTCACTCATAAGGACTTTTCCCAAAGAAATGCTACATTGTAGAAAAGACATACGTGTGTATGTGCTTTCCTGAACACTAAATGATAACCTTTTCAAGTTAGGAGTTTTCGTGGTCTTTCTTCATGTATTCATAACTTACACTTCCTACGTTTTTATTTATAACACACTTCGTATATCACACCTATTTTAAATGCAAACTCCTATCTTGAGTTCCTCTCGAGGCCTGTATTGTGTAACATTTAGTATAAAAACAGAAATTCTTTAGAATCTTGCATTTTTCTTTAGCAAAAAATACAACTTATAAAAGATTACATTTCAGACGTTCTTTGGAAGACATTGGAGCGATATTTTGCGAAAGCGAAGATTAGAACTTCAGAGATAGGGAAAAGATCAAATTTACTAAGAGCTAAAAACTACAAGAACTTGTGTCGAGACATGATCGACCATGTTTTGAATTAACATGGCATAGTAGAGAAGAAGAAGAAGAAGAAGAAGAAGAATATACATGCTTGTATTAATTACCAACATACGTAACTACAGATTACTTCTGATCTTTGATCGATGCCTCGATCTGAATTTTGATATTTTTAATATGCGGACAAGCCCGCACTTTTATTTTACTTTTAAGTTGTTTTATCAGAACTTATTTAGGATTTGTGTAAGGAAATAATTGGCACTCAATAAACATATGTACGATTCATTTCTTTTTCATTGATGTAGGAAGAAATTTATTTATAAATGGCCCACAAAATTGCTGACGAAATTAATGTCCTTTAATGACAAATTGGAAATTTCATTTGAATGTCTTTTCTGTGACAGAATGGAGCATAGATAGATAGATAGATAGATAGATAGATAAAGAAAGAAAGAAAACGTAGATAGATAGATAGATAGATAGATAGATAGATAGATAGATTGAGAATAAAGAGACTTAGATAATGAGAAGATAGATAGATAGATAGATAGATAGATAGAAAACGTATTGTGGTAGATAGATACATACATACATAGAAAATGTATTGTGATAGATAGATAGATAGATAGAAAACGTATTGTCATAGAAAGATGGATACTTACATACATAGATTCTTAGAAAACGTATTGTGATAGATAGATAGATAGATAGATAGATAGATAGATAGATAGATAGATAGATAGATAGATAGATAGAAAACGTATTGTGGTAGATAGATACATACATATATACATAGAAAATAGATAGATAGATAGATAGATAGATAGATAGATAGATAGATAGATAGATAGAAGAGTAAAAATGCTAGAATGTTATAAAGTTCGTATGATCCTCGTAGTTCTGGTTAATAATATTGTAAGGAAACACTGGAACACAAGATTGAATGAAGAACAGGTTTAATCACATGAGAGACATGGATTAATAGCAGAGTAATAGAGAATACTGTCGTTCAGTGTAGCAATGCGTACGACTCAAGCGCTAATCCCTGTCGACTCACTTTGCAACGACCGTTCCAAAAAGCAGATATTCTGCTCTTAGCGGAGGGACGAGTCCATGTTCAACATATTCTTGGTATGACGATAAACTACACCCAGCAGCAAGGTCTCTGATCAGGAGGTTTTAACCAGGAGTAGTAGTACCTGTTAGGGTCTCAACATTGGGCAAATAGTGAACCCCCCCTAACTGGGGTTAAAACATTGGAAAAGTATAAAAAATAAACTTTTATAGTAAACATTTTCAGCAATACATTTTAATAGTTAAAATAATTACCTCAAGGAAATTAAAATTTCTGCATTAAATGACCCATAAAGTGTTGATATGTCGTTAAACAAACCAAAACAGGAGCAAACAATGTTCAACAATTAGTACATAGAAGATCGGTCGTCTTTCTATATAAGACGTAGCCAATTCAGTTTGGAAATAACCAAGAATAATAAGCATGTAAAATTATTAAACTAAACATTTGCCGGTAGTTTTAACTTTTCCCCAAATATTTTTGGCTCTTGTCACAGACGTTCTTTTAAAAACGTCAGAATGATGTCTTCCTAAAGCCGAGTTTTGAATTTCAGTCATTGTGATTAAACTGTCAAATAGCATAAACAAATATAAAAGAATGAACTTTGAAATCCTGCCAATAAGTTGAACAATATTTTGTCTTGTTTTCCTAAAGTCATAACTTTTTTTTTTTTTATAGACTTGTCTCCAATTGGCGTGTGTATAACTAATTCAGTCAAATACCGAATATGTAACTGAATATGTCAACTTTTCAAAAAAGACTAACCTTCCAAAGAAAACTTCTGATGGAATTATTCCGCGGAATATGAACAGTGATCTTCATCCTTCTTGACTTTTAACACAACTTTTCGGTCGATATCCGTTTTGGTTAGAAGGCCGAATAACAAATTAGAGACGCCAAGTTCAAGCAAGTGCGACAATTGAAATATCTAGTGAATGTTATAACACAGGACGAAATGTGTGACACCGAAATCCGAAGGCGAGTCGGGATAGTGTAAGATGTCTTACCAAAGCTAATCAGAGAATTAAGAAACACGCAGATCATGTTAAAATCAAAGAAAATAGTGCTGAGCTGCTACGTAATATCAATCCTCCTATAGGGTAGAGAATTCTGGAGTATTTTCTCAAAGATGAAAAAGACTTAAGAAAGCATAAATATGATTCTACAATATGATTCATACCCATTGTAACTGCAAACTCCTATCTTGAGTTACTCTCGAGGCGTGTATTGTGTAAAATTTAGTATAAAAACAGAAATTCTTTAGTATATTGCATTTTTCTTTTGCAAAAATACAACTTATATAAGATTGCATTTCAGACGTTCTTTGGAAGACATTGGAGCGATGTTTTACCAAAGCGAAGGTTAGAACTTCAGGGATAGTGAAAAGATAAAATCTACTAATAGCTAAAAACTACAAGAACTTGTGTCGAGCTATGATCGACCATGTCCTGAATGAACATAGCATAGAGAAGAAGAAGAAGTAGCAGTAGTAGTAGTAGTAGTAGTAGTAGTAGTAGTAGAAGAAGAAGAAGAAGAGGAAGATACATGCATGTATTAATTACCAACATGCATAACTACATTTTAGCAAAAAATGTAAGAAGAAGGACACTTATAACTAGCATCAGAATGCGAAAGTTATAATTTCTAGGGAACATAATGAGGAAAGAACGGTGAGAAAATTTGATACTTTGAAGACATATTCTTTCTTTATACATATATATATATATATATATATATATATATATATGTGTGTGTGTGTGTGTGTGTGTGTTTAATTGTAAAATAAATGAAGTGTCTAGAGTTTTCTTACCTTGAATTTGTGTTGAGTGTTAAGAGAGAAATGTTACAACTGTGACTTGAAAAAGGAAAAAAGAGCCGAAACTTCCGTCAACCCACGTGTTCACTGCCTGTCCGATGGTGAGAATATCACATTTCTGTGTGTGTAGAGGAGAAAAGTGTCGTCAATTCTCATTAGTTTAGAGTGAATGGAGTAATAATAATTTTGATTGTTATAATTATTTTACTATAATTATTTTTGACACTATAATTATTTTTTGTATGGACAAATCACACAGAACATAACGTACCTAATGAACTTCTGTAATTGGTTGGGAGAAGAGTGATTGCGAAAAGACAAAATTCATTAAGAGCTAAGAAGATCCGGACTTTGAATTGAAGTACACGTCACATAGAATACATTACCCCGTTCTGCTTTGAAATAAATATAAAAAGCTCTAATGTTAACGTATGAGTAAAAAATTTTTTTGCTTATAATAAAGCAATCAGTTCCAACCCGAAATATCCTTTTCTGATGAAGAAAAGTTGCGAGCTTCTTGCTTGTCAATCTTCATAGCAGATATTTAGCCGAAATTTATTCCATTGATTAGGAGGAAGTTTTACTCACACACTTTCTTCCCCAGGACTGTGGCAGAGACGCCCGAGAGGATGCTTTCCTGATAGCTTCATTCTTAACATCTTTATATCTTTAACGTCTATAGCCAACTATTGCTTCATCCATTTCAACAAATTCATTGACCCTCTAAGTGGCTCTTGTATTAGGGGAATAATGTCTTTTAAAATATTTTTTAAAATCCTTTGCGATATATAAGCAACTTATTTCTGGGTAGTAATACGAATGAGTAGTAATGATAATACTGAGCGTTCATACATTAATATGATTATTTTTAAGCCTAGTTTAGATGCAAGACAGTGCCGAAAGGGTATAACAAACCTTACAATGATGAGCTCCACAAATCAGTCCCAAATCCCATCTTCTTGCTAATGGACTTTATGTGATGGTGTGAGCGTGTTCTTGGAGTTTGTGCTATAAATGATTCAAGACAACAACGAGTCTCCACTTGTGGATAAACAAATAAATATACATTGAAATATAACATACAAAACAATCATGTAATGAAGTGTAATGATTAAGGGAAAAAAAGTTGTTCCCCTTCAACTGTAATCTTATCTATGATTGAATGTCCGAAAGAGTTTCTCTTGAATGTTTAGAATTCTATGTTGAATAGAGTTTGCTGTTAGAATAGAATACAGTAAATTAAGAAATGTGTTCTTTATAGAAATTAATAGAGTGCTGGTTCATGAACTTGGCTGATTCACACAGAGAGATATGTATAAGGTGTTACAAAAATCTCTGTCTGTGTGTGCGTTTGAAATGTTGTGAGTAAAGTCGTAGATTTGTGTGGACAGGCGAAAATAGCTGGACTCTACTGGCGACTTGCGAGAAAGTCGGTAAGAGTTGTTGGCAATGTTCTTTAACGTCTGACCGCACGGCTAAGACGGGAGCACTTAAAGATTACATCTTTGCAGCAAGGAAAAAGATCAATAAAGAGAACAAGAGATAGGCTTATTCGTGTTTTGTTTATATAAGGTTGTGCCTCACGTGACAGGCTCCAGCCTTGTGTACGGGAAAATTATTCCTCGCGTAAAGGCGATTTGATTGCTGGGAATTGACCAATCAGCAAGCTAGTTTTAAGGTGATTAGCCAATGAATGCTTACCGTATGATCTGTATGTATGTGTGTGTGATGGCGGTGATGATCGCAACAATGGCATATCTGGTGACTAAGTCCGCAGTTTCGAGATGACCGTTTCCACAAGGGTTCTGCTAATAATCTGTCTTATTTTTCGTAAGCCGGTTTGCTCATGAAAACGTGTCCGGCAGGGAACAGATTTTCTCATTATCAAAAGTTCTTACAAAAGACATCTGCCTAGCCTTCATGTTGAATTCTTTTAAAGCCGTAATTAAAAAAGTTATGCATTTCTTTTGTAGCAATCAGATATTCTTATTTACTAAACGTCGCTTTATTTTGGCACAACACCAAAAGTATAGATCACACAAATCTATAGATCGTCCTAACCATTACTCCTAGTGATGCCCAACACCCTGCGCAATATGACAGTAATGTCTTCTAGCTTTTCCGAAACTGATTTATGAATGCTTGCGAAGGACAGCAGTCTCCTCACAGAATTGACTTCTATTCATTTATCGACGTTTCTCTTGTGACGGGGTTAATTTTAAAGACCGATCGTGGCGCTAAATCCACGCATTCTCCTTTCATGCAAGGGATTGAGACAAGCATCCATGGATATAAAATGGCTTAATAAATGTCAATAAAGGAACGTATTTGTTTGACAGCAGTTTGTAAACTAATTTCAGAAACTATACTTACGACATTAGTCTAATTAAATCAAAGTTGGTCTTATTCATATACAGCCAGTATGAAAAATTTCCAAATAACCTGGAATGACTTATGAATATTAATAAACGATATATAAGACTGTATAAAATTGTTTTCGTTTTTTTTTTATCAAATATATGTACCAGTTGTTGTTGTTGTTATTATTATTATTATTATTGTTGTTGTTTTTATTTTCTTTGATTTCTGGCATTTACACATTTCTTTCCGGGTCCCGCCCAGGGACCTATGGTTAAAAATGGCATCATGACACATTCCACTGACAAAAAAATAAAAAATTAGAAAAAAAAAAATTACATAGATAAAGCCCTTCGTAAAGTGTGGGCTGTAGTTGTCAGAACAATATTTTGTAT